GAATTTAAAGTTCTTTGTTTCATGTGAGTGGAGCTTTTTAACATTTAAAGTTGTTGCCTTTGGTTAAAAGAGCCTTTTAATATTTAAAGTTTGTTGCCTTTGGTTAAATGAGTCTTTTAGTATTTAAAGTTTGTTGCTTTTGGTTAAAAGAGCTCTTTTGAATTTAAAGTTCGTTGCCTCTGGTAAAAGGAGCTTTTTAATATTTGAAATTGTTGCCTTTGGTTAAATGAGTCTTTTAATATTTAAAGTTTGTTGCCTCTGGTGAAAGTAGCATTTTAACATTTAAAGTTTATTGCCTCTAGTTAGAAAGGCCTTTTGAATTTAAAGTTTCATAACCTCTGTTTAGTAGAGTCTTTCAAAAAAAAAAAAAAACTTTATGTTCAACGTTTCCTCTTTTGTATGTATTTTGTCCAAACCAAATTGGTGTCTTTTTTTCTTTGCTTTATTCTTATTTTTAGAAATAAGCAAAAATGGGCAGCTGTAGACACCAATTTTGACTAATGTAATTTTTTTATTTATTGATATTAATATTATTATCATTATCATTAAATAATTAATTAATTAAAAAAAGTAAAAAGTAAAAAAAAATCTTTTGATTTTTAACTCTGGCAGCTGAAATCAAGTTGCTAGAGAGATTTTGTTTCTCTTTGACATTACTTAACTTGGCAGCATGAAATCTGATGACCAAAAGTCATCGAACAAATCTTCAAATTTTCCACAAAAGATCCTATGGTAGCTCTATAAATAGAGCTAATTTCTGCAAAGAAAACACACAGAAAAGAGAAGGAAAAGGAACACAATTAAAGAAAAAAACAACAATCACAATCCTCTTTGATAAAAGAACCATCATCAAACAAAAAAAAAATTTCCCGAGAATGAAATTCTCGATCTAGGAAGTTTGAATATTTTTTTTGAAAAATTTGGTTTTGAAAAAGTGTTTAAAAAATAAAAAAGGATTAATTTGGGAATTTTTTGAAAAAGTTTTAGGTTATCGAAATCTGAAAATTTTAAATTTTTTGATGACCGTTTAAATTTTTTGATAATCGAAATCTGGGTTCATCGTTAGAACCTGAGAATTTTTTAATTTTTTGACGTTGGTTGAAGTTTTTAACCACCAGTGCACGACGATAATCGATCGAAAATTGGGTCACTGCAATGGCCAGTGAGAGGGGGTTTGAGTTTAGAGAGAGAAGCTTTGGGGTAAAAAGAGGGGAAAGAAAAAAAATTGAAATATGTCTTTTATAGGAACTTCAAAATGACGCCGTTTTGGGTATCTAAACCAAGCCCGACCCACACAAGATCCACGCATCAACAAACAAGCCGACCCAACCCATTTCACAGGTTTTTCTTTTTCTTTTTATTTTTTGTTTTGATTTTGATTTATTTTATGTTGATTTTACGTTATTTTTTATGATATTATTGTTATTATTATTATTGTTATTTTATATTATTATTAGTAATAATTTTTTAGAAAAAAATAAATAAAGTGAAAAAAATAATACTAAAATAAAATATGGACCTACAAAATATGATATGCAAAATAATAATAATAATAATAATATCTATTTAAAGAAAATAAAATTTTATTGCAAAACAAAAATGTTATTTAAATTTCACTAAAGTGTTGAGATAATTTAAAATATAATTTTTGCTAAAGAAAGTGATAAATGAAAAAAAATAAAATAAAATAAAAGAATAAATTGTTTAAATGAATCTTTTAAAGGTAATTGTTAAAGGAAGCTAAAAGAGTTTAGTTTTATTTAATTATTGCAAGTTCGGATTTCACCATAAAGTTGGGATATTCCAAAATTATTTTTGCTAGAATAAAGATTGATTTAAACAATGTAAAATAATAAAAGTAATAATAATTGATATCTTGAATAAATTTAAAAAATATATGTAAAATTGAAAGAGTTCGATTTTCTTCAATATTAACAAGAGATTAACATTTAGATTTTACCGGTGAGTCAAGATAATCTAAATTTCTTTTTATAATAAAAAATAATTAAATAAAAAATAATAAAAATTTTAAAAATAATCATAATAAAGATTAATTAATTAATTAGTTCCTTTAAACTATAAAAATGATTTTTATTTAGTATCTTGTCTAAAATTGAGATAATCCTAAAACTTGTTCAAAATTTTAAGATTTCACCAAAGAGTCAAGATAATCTTAAATTTTGTTTAATAAATTTTGGAAATTTGCCAAAAAATTGAGATGTTTCTAAAATCCTTTTTAAAACAAATAAATAAAATATCTAATGACGAGATTTTGATGATTTTGTGAATGGTTAATTTTCTTGAAATTTTTTTCTAAATTGTGATTTTCTATAAATTCTGTCAAAGCGTTGGAGAATTTATAAAATATAATAATAATAATAATAATAATTTCACAACAAAAAAATATTTTTTAAAAATAAATTTTAAGAAATTAAATTTAAATATAAAAGATCGTATCATCAAAATTAAAGGATTATACATGTTTAATTGGTATCATTCTCTGAATGAGCGACGTGAGGGTGCTCGTTCATTCCTCACTCATAACTATACTCTCAGGCCTAACCTAGATTTCGTAGACCTAAACTTCTTTTAATAAATCTTAATTAATTTTAAGATTTTATTAAAAGATGATATTTTTGGATGACAATCACACCCTCTAAAAAGATTGGTGGCAACTCTAAAAATTTTTATCAAGTCTAGCAATCGAGTCTCCCGGAGGAAAAATCGTTATGACATATAAATCTAATAATAAAAAAAAATTTATAAAAAAAGTTACTAAAAATATTTTAGTCAATCTTTTTTAATATTTTTGGAATTAAAATTTTAAAATTTTTAAAAATTTAATTTCACATAGACTTTATTTTAAATTTTAGTTGATTTAAATTAAATTTAAATAAATTAATAAGAGTTATATATTTAAGGATAAATTTATTAATTTAAAAATTTATAGAGATATTTTAAGTCAATTACTTTTAACTCTTTAGAAGTTCACATTTTTATATATAAAAATAATAATAAAATTATATATATAAATAAGTGTGTGTGTGTGTGTCTGTGAACTTAGGAATTAGATATCATTTCGTAAAAATCAAATCACCTACGGATATGTTAAGAAGACGCTTTGAATTATTATCTTGTTGTAATATCCCTTGTCTAGAGCAATCGGAGATCTTGTATTTAGTTGTCTAGGGCAAACAGATTCCAACTCATAAAAGTCTTCTTTGAAAGTGTTAACAATCGGACTATATAGCAGCCAAATATTTGTTTTGCATAATTAGATAAATACGGAAATTTTCTAGAAAAGAAGCAACAAAAATCTTTTCAATGCATGAAAAATCTATTAAAATGGCAACAATTTCAATCATGGAAGTGAAGGGTGCCCACATCATCCATCATCATCTAATTATTTGCATAACTTAAAAAATCAATCGCCTTCTATATGACCAAATGAGTTTTGGATTTATAACGAATTGATTATAAGTTTATTTAACAAATGAAAAATAACAAAATAGAAAACTACCCTTTTATGCTTGTCTTTCATTTCTTTAGAACGATAAAAGGGGAATAATTGAATTAAAAGATTAAGAAAATTTTTTTGCAACAAAATATATGCAACTAGTTTTTATCCCTGCAAATGGACGGAATTTTTATATTTATAATAATATTTAATTTAATTCATTAAAAATCTATATAAAATTTTTGTAGATTCGAAATTTTATTTTTATCACTAAATATTTGTATCTTTTTTCTTTATTTTTAATTAAATTTATATATTTAATGTTAAAATCTTTGATTTAATTTTTAATTTCATAAATTAAAAGTACAAAATAAAAAAATAATTTATCAACAAAATTTTCAAATAACTTTTTGACGTCCATATTAATTTAGAAAAGTATATTAGTAAATATTTAAAACATTGAAATTTTTAATTAAATTCATTTAATGAATTTGACTGTTTAATTGGTAAAAAAGAAAATTTTGCTATAAAAATAGGTTACATAAAATTCAAATATAGTAAGTATTTATAGACCTCAGGAAACTATAAAAAAATTGATAATTAAAATAAAGTATAACTAAAACTTAATAATAAATCTAATCAAAAAAATAGAAAAATTTTAAATTGAAGATAAATATGTGATTTAGGAAGTCCAATAGAAAAAGTTCATCAGATTCTAAACTATTTCTCAATCCCCTAAACATTTATTTTCTCTATGTATACATGCATCCATGATTAGAAAATTCCATTCATTAAAAAATGAAAGAAAACTCCAATTTAAAATTTTTATCACCATAATATTAAACAATAATAGAATTTGATATATATTAACAAAAAATTACATGACAATCACCATAAAAATGACAATTCTATTAAAAATGAAAGAAAACTCCAATTATTGTTAATATATTTTTATCTACTTATATAATTTGATATTTTAAAAAAATATTAAAATGGATATTTTTAAGTCCTAAAACTAAAATTTTTAAACAATAATTCATGCATGCTCTTATCAATTTAAATAAATTTAAATATTTTATTACATTTGAATAATATTAAATAAAATAACTAATCATATATCCTTTTATTTGTTTTCAAATTAATATTTGAATATTTATTATTATTTAATGATTTAGTTTAAAAGTTTTTATATTTGATTATTTTGATAATATATATTATAATTATTTATTATTATCTTATGTGCAATTTAAAAAATTATCCACCTAAACATTCACATAAGTAAATTTTATTAGATTTGCATATATATTGTAATATAATATTATATATGAGTTTAATGTCATCCTTTGAATGTATGATTCGATAGCAATATATACATTATCTATTAAAAAATCAGATTCAAATTCTTTTTTTGTTAAAAAAAAATTAAAACAACTATTTTAAGATGCCTATTTAGCTAGATAGGAAAAAAAAAAGGAAAGAGACGAAAGAGAAACCTCCTACTAAATAATCAAATTGATGAGAATATTTACTACTAATTGTCTCTTTGTGTGAAATGTGAATACATTTCTTATCATATTTATTTCTCTGCAAAGATATTGTCCAAAAGAGACAAAACAAAAGATTCAAAGGTGTATTCCCGCTAAAGACCTTATAAAATACGATCAAGTTCAACTGCTTTTGCATTTCGATCTTCTATTGCTTGCTCATGTGCCCCATTGACCACAACACCACGACTTTTTATGACTCCATACTTCACCAATAGCTCCGTCGCCCAATCCAGAATGTGCAAGACAATGTAAGTTCCAATCCCACCAATTAACCCATATGCTATGGAATAGGTCAAAGGCATCAAAATCAATGTCACAAAAGCGGGGATTGCCTGTCTCATATCATCCCACTCAATTTCCAGCACTGCTCTCATCATCAACACTCCCACCAGGATAAGCGGCGGCCCTACGGCCCAAGCGGGTATCGACGCCAAAAGTGGCGTGAAGAAAAACGCTAGGAAAAAGTATCCGGCCACTGTTAACGCCGTCAACCCCGTTCGTCCACCCTCTCTAATCCCTGTGGACGATTCAACGAAAGCCGTCACTGGTGATGTCCCGAGCAATGATCCCACGACAATTGACATGGCATCCGACATGAAAGCGAAATATTGGCCCTCAAAATCACCGTTTGGATCAGTAAAGCCGGCGAATTTCGCCATGGAATACAACGTACCAGTTGTATCCAATATGTCAACATATAAGAACGTGACCAAAGCCTCCCAAAAGTAACCTTTACCTATAGTGCTAAAACTCAATGCCCCAGCTGTACTTTCTATTAAGTGGATATCAACAACTTTCTTAAAATACTTGTGAGCTGAATTACCGGCGTCAGTGTTAGGAAAAGCAGACACTTTAGTGTTGCGGAACCAAGAAACCGCCGTTACAAATACTATACCATAAATCATAGCACCCTTAATATTTTTCACCATGCAATAAGCTATAATCACAAAACCCACGATTCCAAGCCACAACGTGGGACTCTCCATTCTGTCACGTAGACAAAAAATGTCACCCGAGACTGTACCCCCAGGCATTAAACTAACGGTTCCGTTAGCTGCCGCTAAAACTGGGGCAACCGAAACCCGGGATGAACTCGGACAGCCTCCGAGAGCCACAAGGGTTGACGGGTTATACCCGACTAACCCGACGCCTTGGTTATTTTGCAGCCCGATAAAGGCGAGAAACAGCCCGATACCTGCAGACGAACTTATCCGAACCGGTTTAGGAACTAACTTAGCTAACTTGGCCCGGAACCCGATAGCTGAAATGAACAAAAACATTAACCCTTCTATGAAAACCGCTGCTAAAGCACTCTTATAAGGGACATTACCCGACCCGTGAAGTCCGACCACAGTATAGGCAAAATACGCATTTGTCCCCATACCCGGAGCCAAAGCCAGCGGCAAATTCGCGAAAGCACCCATAATTACGCAGCCAATAAGAGAAGAAACAACAGTTGCTACTATGAGATCTTTACGGACGGTCTCCAAACATGAAGCGTAACCCGGGTTGACCGGGTCGAATTTGCATGACACGTCAGGCTTGATGACTCGGAGATTTGACCCAGTGCAGTTGGATAATGGAACGGAAGGATCAGAACATAAAGGAATGCAATCTGAGACGCTGCAGGGACCTCCAGAGTCGGCAAGGATGGAAGCATTGACGGCTAAGATGTAAGCCATGGTTAGGAACGTAGCGGTTCCCGCACGCAACTCGGTTGTGAAAGAAGAGTTACGCTCGGCTAGTTTGAAACGCTTCCCGACCCGGCTATTGGCAACGGCCGAGTTGAGCCGAGTTAGGAACTTTTTGGGTGGTGGTTGAGGTTCCATGACCATGGAAAACGAAAAGAAACAAACTTTGTTAGTAGGTAAGAAAAAAATGAGTGTGGTTTTACATATAAATAAAAATACTCAAAGAAAAAAAAAAATAGAGACTTTGTGTGTTTGTTTTTGGAAAATTTGATGCATTAGCGGAATAAAAGGGAAGAAATTCTATAGTAGGAAAGTGGGAAGAGGGCATCATTTTATATTTGGGAAAGTATCTAAGAATTTACTACCAAATACTGGTTCAAGCGATACAAAGAGTAAGATATTAAGGGATTGAACATAAAAAAATAATGTGATTATGGTTTGTTTGTTTATTTTAAGATGTATTTAGATTTTATTTATATTTGGTAATAAAATTATTTTATTTATTGTAATTTGATTTATTTAAATGGTAAAATATTTACATTTTATTTATGTTCATCTGATTAAGTCATATAAATTTTTTTATGAATATTAAATGAATATATTTATAAATATTAAATAAATAAATATAAAAATATATGTAAATAAATAAATTTATAAATAATAAATAAAAATATAAAATATTGTTAAAAATAATTTATTAAATTTAATAAATAAATAAAAATAAATAAAAATTAAATATTTTTAGGAATGATTTATCAAAAAATTTATTCATTTATATTCTTAAAAAAATTTTTGTTTAAATTAAAATTCATTGAGAATATAAAAAAGATACTTTTTTATGAATTTATTAAGTTAGATTATATCAATTTATTTGAACGAACTCAAAGAGAAAATAAATCGGATGAAACTCAAAATTTAAAAAAAAAAAAAAGTATATGAGAATTTGAAGGGGAAGGGGATTGCGAATTTATGATGACGATGATATTTTGTATTTTTGATCATTTTTAGTGTGAACCACGACAGCTTAATTCGCACAATACTTTATATTTTTTTATATATAAAGTTTTTTTGTCACATATTTAAATAGATTGGAAAAATTAAAAAACAAAAGGATAGAGGGGGAGGAAAAATTATTGTCAACGTAAAAAATCATAGACATTGAGACTAACAGAGTCTTATCTCATTAATGTTTTAGTCAGACTTGGAAAGTGAGGAAATTACAACTGTACCTCATGGTTTTTTCTTAAGGGAGGAGGAATAGGAAAGAGGAAAAGGGCTGCTTTTTCCAACTTTCTTTTAATGTTTTTTCTTCTATGGCATCTATCTTTTTTTTTTTAGGGTGGGGTACACACATGAAACCTACCAAATATTTAGATTGGTTTATTATTATTTTTTCATTTCTTCCAATGTGCCAATAGTACCAAATCAAGCTGCATATCCTGGTTTCACACCTTGATTTGGTGCCATTCTTTACTTTCCTTCCAATAATAAAAATAAATAAATTCAGCTTATTAATAAGCAATTACATGCTAATTATATCAGATTTGAATTGAGAATGAGAGGCCATTAGTGTCATTTCCTTTTGTACTTTTTGCCCACCATTTCGGGACTGAAATATCAGATTCCACACCCATTTCTTTGCACTTAGTTCCAAGGCATTAGTCAGAAAATCTAGCTGTCATAGTGAGTTGATCTACCTGGTTTTTTTTTGGGGGGGGGGGGGGGGGGGTGGGGAGGGTTCGACAGATTGATCCAATTTCATATTCCATTTCAGTACCTGGCCTTTTTCTTCCTCATTTTCTTTTACAACTAAATAGGATAACTTGTTTTTTTACCTTGACTCCAAGCGAAAGGCGGAGGAGCAAAAACATCTGCATTATCATTTGGGTATGACTTGGCCCCAAATTAGCACAGATGTAAGACAATTAAATTTGATTGCACCAGGAGGATGGCAACTCCATGAGACCAATGCCCTCATTGGCCGGACATTGTACTTCTTTTGTATTCAATGCTTTAAGCAGTTCCACGAAAGCATGGTAATAATTGAAAATGATAGCCTTTCTTCACCAAGACATCAGTTCCTGTTACAAGCCCTGCATATCAGGGTACCACTAGAACTGAAAATTGCTGAATTGATTTGAATTTAACCTCGATTTAATCTTTTTCATAAAAATAAATAAATAACCTGAAACTTTTCATTGGAATTTAAAAAGATACGAATCTTCTTCAAACATGATGATTGGACTCACTCAATTGTCATTTTTAGAAAATATTATTTTGTCTGACAGTATAAAAATTCAATTATACATAAATTGGAATAAAATTAATCAATCACTACTATGTCAGTGATAGGTGACACAATCATGAATTGTTGTTTTCTTATTAAATATAAATTAGACAATATGAGACCAAAAGTTCGGCATTCTTCCACTAATGAAAGAATTCATGATACCAATCATATAAAAGGTTAACAAAAACTCAAAGCATTATTGATAAGAGCTCTCTCTGTTTCTTTTCCCTTTAAAATATGAGATTTTAGGTTCAACTATGATCTTTCTTTCTAATTCTTGAAATCTCAAAGCATCATTTAAGGTATTGTATGGACTGTTGTTAAAATTTCCTGTGTGTGATTATGACAAACACAAAAGAATAAATTTAGCTAGTGAGATTTGGTATAAAGCAGTAGTTGTTTGGGCAAAAAAGTTTGCCAAAACCTTACCATCGAAGGAAGTTTTGATTTCTTAAAGCAAAAAAAAAAAAAAAAAAATTCATGAATATCTATCTATCTATCTATATATATATATATATACACATATATATATATACACACATATTTATAGTTTAATCTTACTTCTCAACCTTCTGTCTCATAATTCTATTCAGAAATCAAATTTAATGGTGAATTAGAGGGTTGGGTTTCTCAAAACATTGCATATTTTTGGACCCCCATGAGTCTTTTCCACTTGTAGTTTTCTATAATCATGTCATCTAAATATGTACTTTCTAACAATGAAAATATTTTTTTATTAAAAAAGAAACGAGATTAAATATTCATTGAACATGAATGTATACATTTATCCTTCGATCAAATATTTGGATGCGATCTAATAATCTTTTTGAGTGCTTTAATTGATTACTTTGGGTTTTGAGAAATTTTTTATTCCTTAACCATCGTAAGGTCTGATTGAATCCCGACTAGCTCTAGACAAAAGGATTAAAAAACAAATATTGCAGTTCCAATGATGGCTGCATTCTTAGAAGAAACAATAGAAATATGTGAAGGGTCTTTTAGCTTCTCTGCAGTTTGAAGTTCCAAAGCAGGATAAAGCTCTTTATTTCTTCCCCTTTGGTTAGAGAAAGGTTATGTAAATGAAAGTAAACTAGCCTTCAAATCAGTTCCTTCTTATTTTTCCTAAAATCGAAATATATTTAGTTAGATATTTATGATTTACACATCAATTCTTTCATTTTTTTTTTACTTAATACACAAATAAAACCCAACAAATAGTTGGTTCAAGTGGTTAAGATCGTCCTCATTAACAAAAAGATCTTAAGTTCGAGTGCTGTTGGTAGTAACTTGTTGGGATCATTTTGAATACACGACCTGTAGTGACTTATCTTAGACTGTTAGATATAGTACATCTTACCTTGATATGAGGGATCGGGCAGCTTATCTACCCTATGATTTTTTTTACCAAAAAAAAATTTTACTTCAAAAAAAAAAAAAAACCAACACAAATCATCAATCATTCATTGAATAGAATTAAAGGTATAAACTTTTATTTCATTATAATTATACTCATTAAATCTTAAAAATGAATGAAAAATATCCAATTGACAGATTTTTATAAAATTATATTTTCTCAAAGATTTGTCACCAGTTCATCCAAATAAATTTAAATAAGTATTTTTTTTCAAATTAAATCATCCAACTAAGAAAATTTAACAAAAAATTGATAGTTTATACCATAAAGGTTCTAATTATAATAAAATTAAAATTTATAATTTTATTTTCATACAATAAAAATTTAGAAATTTACTTTTAATTTTAAGTAAAATTTGAGAGTTTATTTGGATACTATCTCTTTATTTTTTTCATCTGTAACTAACTAAATTAAATTTCATTATCCTAACAAAATTACTATTAATAATTTATATGATTATCTATCCCAAGTGAAAAGAGAATGAAAAAAAAAAAAGAGTGAAAAGAGTATTATTCTTGTCATAATGGTTTTGGAGATCATTAAACAAAAATTTTAAAATTTCAAAATTGGGAGAGTCACTATCAATTTTTTTGTTAGGTATGATTGGCCATATAAAAGTTTATATTTTTAATAAAACTTTAAAATTAATTAAAATATATTAAAAAGATAATTTTGGTCTAATCAAAATCGGGTTCAAAAGTATGATTACGCGTAAAAAAAAATAGCAACTTCACTATGCTTATTTTTAAAATGGTATAAATTAACTATGTATTATCTTTTAATTTTGACAAAAAGATCTTAATTTTGATATTTAAACATAGTTTTCTTAGTTTTTCTTATTGCAATAAAAAAAATCCTTTTACTTTTTTAATCATTTGCTTAAAAAATAAATAAGAGTCTTACATATTGAAAAATTTTCAAAAATATTTCAATATTTTGATAATATTATGGGGAACATTTTCACCTAAGGATCTTTTAAAAATTACTACCTAAAATTTTCAAGGATCTTATCATCGACGATTCATATTTAGTTTTAAAATCTATATTTATGTTGCTTACGTAGACACCCATTTTGTTTGGTTTCATTTTAACCTAAATATAATTTTATTTTCTTGTTTTTATTTATAGTTTATTATTATTATATATATATATTAAAATTTTATTTTTCTGGTTCCTTCTTGTTTTTGCCAAAAGTTTTGGTGCTTTAAATGCACCACATGTACCACTGTCCACCAAGGCCAACCACTTGTGAGTCCACCATTCTAACACCTATTTAATTGTGCAGTAGAAATCATGATGCCCTCAAAAGTCATTGATGTGGCCTAAAATTCTTCCATCAATCCAATGAAATCTAGGATTTCAATCCCAAATTAGGTGTATAAATAGTTCTTTTCAAGCCTAAAATGAAAGAGAGAAAAAACCTAAAAAAAAAAAAAGAGGACAGAAG